CTCTTCCAGTCAGTTGGCCAAGTAGCTGTCTTCCAAATTCCCTGCATTGAAAAGTGAGTGCTTTCTGAAACATTTCAAGGAGTCTTCCATCAATTCCTTCAGCCTAGTTTTTAGATAAAGCATTCAGTGCAGTTTGAATTTATTCCTTCAGCACAATTGATTCATGCTCATATGTGTCCCCCTGAAATGGTGGAAGTTTGACTCGTTCTTTTTGGTACAGGGATTCTGCATAGTCTTTCCATCTTCTCTTGATGCTCCCTCCAGCAATTAATATTTTGTCTATAGAAATTTTCAAAATTGCAGCTTGAGGCTTGAATTTTTTCTTGAGTTCTTTCAGTGTCGGATTTGCTGAGCATGTTCTTCCCCTTTGGTTTTCTAATTTTAGGTCCTTGCGCATTTTGTTATAATACTTGGCTTTTCCTTTTATAGCTGCCCTTTGAAATTTTCTATTCAACTCCTTGATTCATCCTTTATTTCACCTACTCTTGGATTAGGAGTAAGTTTCAGAATTTGTTCTGACTTCTATTTTGATTGTTTGCTATCTTTATGAATAATGGTGTTGATGTCCTCCCACAACTCTTCAGGTTTTCTGTCAATAGTGTTCAAAGCACTAATTCTGTTCTTGAGATATTCTCAAAGTTCATGTAGGATAGACTCAAGGTCATGCTTTGACTATTGTAGATTTCTTTTAATTTTTCACCTTTATCTTGAACTAATATTTGATAATGTGATAGCGCCTAGTCTGGTGTTAGCTGCTGATTTTGAGATTCTCCACCATATCTTCCCATAGAGGTAATCAGTTTGATTTCTATATATTTATCTGGGGGAAGCATCTATGTAGTGTAGCCTTTTGTGTTGTTGAAAACAGGTATTTGCTATGAGCAAGTCACTGGTTTTCCAAAATTTTATCATGTGATCTCCAGCTTCATTGCTATCCCAAATCTATATTTTTCAACTACTGTTCCTTCCTCTTTGTTTCCAACTTCTGAATTCCAATAACCAATAAGTATCAATGTATACAGATTGCATATTTGATTAATTTTCAACTAAAGACATGGGTAGCATACTTCTATTTCTTCATTAGCTTTTGTGGTTGGTGCAGAAAGTTGAACAATAGTTCTATTGATTGGATTTCCTTGAAGGTGGGTAGATGTAATCCAATCACAGGTAACATGTGCTTCATGATGGATTTAATAAGATCTGTTATGACAACGAATACCATGTCATTCCTCTTGATTGTGTTATTCCATGCATATTAAAGCATATGATTTTCTGATTCAAGATGTCCAATGCCAGTCCATTTCAGCTCACTAATGCTTAGGATATCAATCGATCTTCATGTATTCTATTTCATTTTTGGCCACTACCAATATTACTAAATTCATAATTCACAAATTCCAATCATTAGAATATTTTTGCAGCTGTTTCTCTTTACCTTGATTTATGCCCCATCATTAAATGAAGATTCTGAAGACTACACTCCCACAGGTTTTATGCAAAATATCACCATGGTTTGCTCCCCTCTAAGAAATCAATTCCTTACAATACCAATGTATTGTATTGTCACAATACCAATGTCCTCAGATCTCAGGGGCTTATCATCTGGCAGTATCTCCAACAATGTTTTTCTTCCTACCTTTTCCCCCCATTAATTTTGATATAGTACATATATCATATTATTTCATAGTTCAATCACCTGCTTCAGAATTGCATAATTTCTACCACCATCAGTTTCCAAGTATCATGTTTCTATTCCTTGACATTGTCTCCTGTTTACCCCACAATCAGTACTGTACCACTCTCCCACCAAAACCCTTATTCTACTTGCTGTCTCTATAGGTTCATCAATCCTGGCATTCATATACTGAAAAAGAGAGAAATACCTAACACAACTGCAAGAGGGTGACCCTCAATGACATAACACTTTAATATGTGGTACACCCTAATATGAAAAAACTAAACCCAAGCAAAACAATACAAACAAAAACATACAGAACATTTTGGAAACCAGGTCAGGTCCAGCTTGCATCCTAGCGGGGGCATCTGCTGGCAAAATTTAACTGTTCCAAAAAGACTTATGCCTTTGATCTTGTATACTCAACTCTCTAATGCACTCTGCTTAGTAACCACATCCGATTCTATCTCTCAATTGTGGGAAAGTTCCAGAGTCTTATTTACTATGTAGTTCCTTCCACAAATAAATCTTGGGCTCCCACTGTCATCCATAAACTACAAACCCAATTCTCACACAATAGGCTCTGATACTAATCACTCCTTTGAATTCAGATTATATGATTCATAACTCTTTGGTGACTTATGATGGCATGCTTCTTCCATGTGGACTTAGTTGACATCTCACTTAGATGGCTGCCTGCTTGGAGACAAGCCTTTAAGACTCCAGATGCTATTTTATCTGATAAATAGTACTCTTTTTACTACATTTTTGCTAGAGTACCTGTTTCCTCTGTGTTTCTTTCCTGAGGGTGAATATCAAGGAGGACCATGATGTAAGAACTAATTGCTCTTATGTTGGAGCTAGGATTTGGTGTAAGCCCAAATCCCATTCCTAGATTTACGTTGTTTTTTGTTTTGTTGTGTTTTTTATTACTTGTCAAAAAGACTTTTTCTGCCGGGACTCCTTAGCATCATCTCCCTTTTATGCTCCCTTCTCCCCCTGCTCCCCAAACCACCTCCACCCCCAACAAAACCCTCGTTCAACTTGCTATCCCTATAGGATCATCAATTCTGGGTTTCATTTACTGAAAAACAGAAAACCCGATACCACAACTTCAAAAGTGTATACTCCCAAAGACCTAGCACCCATGTGATACTCCCTAATATGAGCAAACATAAACCAAATAAAAGGGAGTGTCCATCACAGGGTTTCCAGAGTAATACATATATCTTAATCCAGCATATAGGACATTGATATAACAAAACCTTATTTGTCCATCTAGCAACAGTTCACCAAATTTGATACAGCTGTCTACTGCTTTCGCAGACACCATGTATTTTCCGACTTAAATCCTCAGGTTACAAGCGTGTCTAAGGTAGAGCCCAATTCACCCAGTGGAGTTTCCGCATTGGACCTCACTGGGGCAGCCTCTGGAGTAAGGAATGAAGACTCAGTGTTCAAGATCCAGTGTCCCAGTGACCCTTGGCACTTGGATGCGGTCCCCAGGATGCACTCAGATGCAGACAATGTTGTCCATCTGGTGCATTGCACCAAAGACCCTCCTCCACTCCAAGTGTCCCTAAAGTATTTTTCAGTCATTCTTCCCCACAACTGGAAGTCAGTCCTTCCTGTTTTCCTATCAGCGAATATGCATTTGTTTTTCCCTCTAAACTTGTTTCCTTCCTTTCCTCTCTCCTGAATTGTTCTTCCTGTGTGTAATCCTCCACCCTCCAATAGGCCTCTCTATCTGTCCAGGGGGGACAGGCTCTTATTAGACACTCCCCCTCCGCCCCCCCCTTTCACCATTTGATCCTGTATGACATCAGGCGCCCTCTGGTCTAGTGACCTTGAAAATATTTACCTAGAGCAGATGTTGTATGGTTGATTGGCACTGGTCAGGCTCTCTACCAGGTTGAGTGGCCCCCCAGCCAATAAACTGGATGTCTGTCAGCCTGAGCTTGTGCCCATTTTGCTGCTTGTTCCTAGAGCAGTGGACTCAATACAGTATTTGTCCTGTTGTGCTTGGTTAACGTCATTCAGCATAAAGGTTTCCATCGACCTCCATGTCTTCAGGTGTTTCATGGATTCAATGCTGTTCTTTTAGGGATGAGTAGTATTCTATTGTGTGCATGTACCAGGGTTTCTTTATCCAATCATCTACTGATGGGAATTTAGACTGTCTCTAGGATCTTTCTATTATGAACTGTGCTGTGATGAACATGGGGAGGCAAATGCTTCCTCTTCCTCTTATTCTTATTTCTTTTTTTCTGTCACAGATGAAGCAATGACAGAGAGTAGACAGCTGCTCACTGCATCATAGCTGCCCTTTATGACCAGAAAATAAAGACCGACGCTCACACTACCAACCAGTTACTTCACCAAAGGTGTGCTGTCAAACTAGCATCCAAAGCAACACGCACTCACCCCAATATCGCAGAGAAAATTCTGGTTGTACATACCAACATGTAATCAACAAATAAGTACAACTTCATAATGTCTCAGAAACAACAGACAGCTTCAAATCAAGTAAAGAAACAGGACAAGGTAGAGATAGCAAACCACCAAAGTAAAAAAATAAATCAACAAGAAAATCTCATTGATGAAGAATAATTCCTGCAAAGGAATTTAAAAATATATGTATACATCAAGGAAACCACAAAAAAATTAAGAAAAAAACAGACAACACCAGGCATGAATTCAAGAAAACAATACAAGTGGAAAATGACAATATAAATTGACAAATTGGAGACCATACACAAACAACACGAAGAAATCCAGAAGATTAACATTAAAAGTTTGCAAGAATCAGAGAGAAGTATTCAATCAATTATAGAATCCAATTAACTGAAGGCTAAACCAGTGAATAAAGAAAAACCCTGGATACTAATTTCTATAAGTAAAAATCAGAAAAAACATTAAGAAAGCCTAAGAAATATCTGGGACAGGATCAAGAGAAACTATTTTCATATGTTGAAATTCAGAATAGAAGGAGGCCACGAAGAGACAAAAAACCCCACAGAGGGTAATGTTGAACGGTTGGTATAAGAAAACTTTTCAGATATCATGAAAGACAAAAAAAGTTTACATTCAAGAACCTCCAAAATTTATGCTGGAAAATCCACTTAACAAAAATACCTTTGATCTGTAAATAGGCTCTTTTATTTAGCTAAATATATATATTTATATATATATAAACTTTTATATAATACATACACCATTGATACAACAATGCATCGTGTCCATTGACTAATCAAGACACATGCATTCTCCACGGTGAGTGTATACCAGTGCTATGAAATTACAAACCGTCTGAGATATTACTTACTGACACGAACGCATCTGGGAGAAGGGGACCAGTCCTGCTCCGTACATGTGATGGAGGTGTGTCCATTCGGGAGACTGTAGCCACGATTACACCGAATATTTACAGACTGGCCTTGTAGATAATAACGCTGTGCATGATCAACATATCCATTTTCCACTTCATACAAGTGACATTTTCCTAAGGACCACAATAATAATAATAATAAGTTAAAAGTACAAATCAGGTCAGAAAGTGTATTGAAATTCATTTCTGCATTGTTTAAATTAGGGCATGTAAGATTCTAAAACTAATGAATTAGAAGACAGAAAGCCAGGCGAATCCAAAATATTTTTTAGAAGAAAAATATATATTCAAAGTTATTTACCCTAAGTTTGTATCATTCAAATGTTTGCAGTATAACTCGGGGATATT